CAGGTATATTTCTATCATTTGACTCCTAGAAAACAAATGAGGTAGGTGAAGAAAATAAATTAGAGTCCAAATGTGAAGACCACTTGACCCCAAATGGTGTACAGTTCTGGATCCTTAGTCAGAGTGTAGTATCTAGCAGGTCTAAAAGGAATGTGTTTGGACAGGGAAAGTAAATTCATCCCTGGGGAAAGGGAGGAGCCGTGGGCAGGGCTCCCTTCTCTGTGTGAACTGCAGAGTGGTATATATTCCACTAAGAGAAAGTTTTTTTCGAAAATTTAAAATGATTTGAGGTTAAATATTAATATGTAGTAAACTTAAAAGTTGAGAAACTGGCATTAGTTCTAGAAATAATCTGTAAGCAAGAACAGTTGGATTCTGGTCTTACCAAATTCCAGGTAGCATAAACTTCACATTTTCCAAAGGAAATAAAAAAGATATTTACTTACACATTTCAATTAAAATTTATTAAGATATAGATGAAGCTACTGAAATATAAAAGTGATTTTATTATTTTTAAATGTTCATATGAGAATAGACATCCTTATCAAATATTCCTAGTTATTGTAAAATATGAAGTTTTTATTAAACACAAAATCCACATACTTCTTAAAAAGTATTCAGCTTACAAACCTCATCATGTGTACCATGTGTACGTGAAACAAAACACTCAGAAATAAAAACAAAGGCATATATTAAAATATCTTTTTTCAAATTAACATTCTTTCAGGCGGTATTATTACAATATATTTAGAAATTAACAACATAAGCAATTGGGAAGCTATTCACGCTTGTCCCAAAAGTACTGAATTTAAAATTACCTCTAGATGTGTGAAATAGAACAGGTTAAGCAGAAGAACGAAAGTAATTCACACACAGACGCGAAATCAAGTTTGCTCTGTGAAACCGTTTCCTGTACCTTCTACCCCCAGCCCAGTCCCGACCCCTCAAGTCCTTGGAGCTGATGTGGCTGCGTCTCAGCTTCGGGTGACGGAGGAACAGAAAGCAATGACTTCCTGGGGACCCCGCGGGACGCTGCAAATCCAGGCAAGCATGGAGTGTGCACGCAGGGCTCCTTCCCTACCCCCCCTACCCCTGACACCCGCCAGCCGAGGTCCTGCCCCACACAAGTCCCCGCCCCCCATACCCCGCCACGCCAAGGTCCCCACCACACTCCGCCCGCCCCTGGGCCACCGAAGTCCCGCCCCCTGCCCCTACCCGCCGAGGTCCCCGCCCCCGCTCCGCCCACGGGCAGCTGCTGTCCGGCTCCCCTCACCTACCCGAGCCCAGCGAGGTCCTCGCGCCCCCCTTCTCCCGCCCCATCCCACCGTGGTCTCCGCCCGATCCCGCCTGCCGAGGTATCCCCCTCTCCGGCACCGCGTCGCACCTGCAGGACACAGATTTCCACTGTTCGCCAAAAGGTATTTTTGATCTGAAACCGGCTTCAACTTGTGAACAGGGAAACAGTTCAGCATTCTGTTTGCGTTCTCACTAAACTGAGCTCGTACCTTGAACTGTCTGACAAATTTAATGTGAAGTTGGGTGGGCGCAGTCCGGTTCCACCGTGCACCAAAGAGATTCAAGTGCAACCAAATTCGGAGACTCCTGTTCTGTTGCGCGGGAGAAGGGGCGGAGTGGCAGAGCCGGGAACGCACTGAGCGGGGAGCGGGGAAGGCTCAGGCTCCACCCCTTCCCAGCTCGCTCCTCCCCACCGGGCTCGCCCCTCCGGCTTCGCCCCAGTCGGCCGAGGCTCCATCCAGAAACCGTCCCGCCAGTCTTGACCGAAACCGAGTCCTGCTCCGGCTCCGCCCTTCGGCCCGAGGCCCCGCCCTCACGCAGTTTCCTGTTGACCCGGAAACGGATTCTCCGAAGCCAAGGTCCACTCAGGTGAGCGTGCTCGGGTCTCTGCGTTCAGATCCCGCTTTGCAATCCCTTCCCTGCCCCGTCCTCCACACCCGGGGTCGGGGGACCATGCGGAAGTTACAGGTCCTGCCTCCGCCCTCCTGTCGGCGGGGAGCCCCTCGTCTTCCTGAAAGGCTTCGAGGCCTGTTGCACCGCAGTCGTAACACGTCTGTGTCCGGTTCCGGTTCCGGTTCCAACGCCCCGAGGCGGTCACTGCCCCGCCGCCCTCCACTCACCAGTTTCCCTTTTTGTTCGCGGACTGTCGCCTTCCGTCCCCAGTCGCGCGCCCTTGGCCCTCAGCGCAGCCTGAGATTCTGCAGACGGTTGACTTTTTCTGGGACTCTTCCTGGTCTCCTGCCCCTCGGTGGTCACCGCCTCGGGGAGGCCCCTGAGTCCGGACCTGCGGGAGGGGTGCGGGTGACGCCCCATGGTCTTCATTCGCAGTTCTGTGCCCCCTGGCTGTCGGGGTATTCCCCTTCCCGATGTCCCTTGAAAAGTGGGCTCTGCCTGGACTCGAACTTCTGCGTCCCTATTGGTGTCGTGGTGGGGCGGAGGATAAGAGGCTGAGAGAGACAGCCAGGGAGAAAAGGGGAGGGTAATTTCGAGGTAGGAAGTGGGTAGATCTGAGGAATTGGGAAAAACAGCGAGAATGAAGGAGAGTGACCTGGGCAAGAAGCAGTGGAGTAAATGAAAATAGGCAAAAACAAATCCGTAGAGAGGAGGAGGAGGGCAGAGTGTGAGGAGGAAGCCTTGACCCCCAGTGTGGAAGTCCAATTCTCAAGAGTTTTCGGTGGTTTTCTAGCTTCCAAATTTACTTTACCTTTTAAATGTATTGTGTTAGGTTCAGATTATGAGGCGTCAGTACTTTTCCATCTTAATTATATATTGAAAAAACTTTTTGTTTTTTAGTAAATACCTTGACACTAATACATTACGCACTTGGTAAGGATATTAATTTCTTTTTTGAGTCGGGTCTCACTCTCCCCAGGCTAGAGTGCAGTGACCAGATAATGAACCATTACAACCTCGAATTCCAGGACTCAGGTGATCCTCCTGCCTCAGTCTCTCAAGTAACTGGGACTATAGTCCACCATGCCTGGCTAATTTTTTTACATTATTTTTTGTAGAGACAAGATCTCGCTCTGTTGCCCAGGCTGGTCTCAAACTCCTGGACTCAAGCAATCCTCCCTCCTTGAGCTCCCAAAGTGCTGGGATTACAAACATAAGCCACTGCCCCAGCCTGATGATTTCTTTTTCTTTTTTCTTTTTTTCTCATAACAGTCAAAACCAAATTACAGAGTTAGTTTATTTTTTTTCAACTTGTGTTCTGAGGTTGAATAGTACTTGTGTAATATTCAATAGTTTCCTTGTATGATAATTTAATTGACTGTGGTCTAAAATTTGCAACTAAGTATATGATCTCTTGAAGTTTTCTTTGTCTTTTTTTCTGAAAATATTGAAGGATGACCTGGATTGTTCTGGAACTTTGTTCCCATAGATCCCATCTGTTCATAATGAACAAATTGCTCAGAGATATTTCCAAAGATGACTTTCTTTTTTGTTTTCAGTGCCAGTAATTAGTTTTTATTTTATATTTTTGATGTTTTAATGTGATGTTCTGGAAAAGAGAAATACTTCTAATGAATATGATTAAACCATGAAAACCAAGTTACTCTTGCTCAAGAGTATGAAATAGGATCTGGAATCTTTAAGGCAGAAATGATCAGAACAAACCCTGCAGCTATCCCATACAGGCTGTGTCATTCCTGTGAGGCCAGTGCAGGTTACTCTACTGGCTTCTTCTATTCATCTTTCCATCTGCTCCAAGCACACATAATGATACAAGGCAGCTGAATAGGAAAGAGCAAGACTCTTCAAGCATAGAACAAAGGTATCTCTCCAATGAGGTGACGCTTGCTTCTGGGAAGGGAGCTTGGAAGAGGAAGAGCAGTGCAGTTTGGGTGTTTAGCATCCAGGAATGGGAGAGAGGCTGGGGGAAGCTCAGGAACTGGAGCTTCTTGCCCATTCTCACCCATAAGCCTGTAGTCAGCAGGCACCAGAAGGGACTTTGGGTTTTGATTGAAAGGGTTCAGCCTAGCTCATATACCCACAACTGCCATGTAGCATGTGGGCTTCACTAGAGTAGAAAGATGTTAGGAAGAAAGAGGCAGAAAAACTCACCTGTTGGTGTCCACATAGGAATTTATTGTCCCGAATTTCTCTTGTTTTGGTGGAAGCAGAAAACTGTCTTTTTCACATGCTGAGTTCTACACTGTGTGGATGTGATAAAGGAAGGGAGTATGTAGATTTAAAACCCTCATATGCATATTTCTAACACCCAGGAGTAACTTCTCAAGACTGATCATGCCTGAGAAAGAACTCAGAGCTAAGAAAAAGGAGGAACAGTCAGGACTGACATTTCCACTGGAAAAAGTCATGCTATTTGTTGATTATTCTGTTACTCTCCTTCCTGAAATACTGTTTTTAGGATGTGCTGTTCTCTGACTCTCAAGTATTTTGCTTAACACATTTCCTAATTCAACCTAGTCTACCCTTAACCCCCTTCCATCTTCTCACAGATACACTGTACCGTGAACCAGTGACATAGAACTTGTGAAGTTCCATCTGGGGAGTCAGATGGGAAAGACTTCATGCCCAGACATGGATTAGAGATGGGGAGCGGGACCTATAGTGTCAGTAGTTTGGCCAGTAGGGATTGTTTAAGAACCACATATGGATACACTGTATCTGTAGATCAGGATTAAAGAAACTGCACATATTAGTAGTGAACTAATGTCAGGAATACCTGACAAATACTGGAAAAGAAGATTGATGAGGGAAAATTTGTTATACCTGAGTATATAATGCATTTGAAGCATAATAAGATGAATCAGTGTTGATCTGACTTCAAAATATTGATGATTGGGATAGAAGGGACAGTTTAGAAACTGATATCCTTGACAAATTAAGGTGGCATTTCTTCTACATGATGGAGTATGTTTTACTCCATAATTGCTTTTTAAAAATGGAATCAACCTGTCTAACAGTAGGAGGTTTTTAAAATTGTTCACAGCACATCCATTCCAAGGAGTCCTTGTTCATGCATTTGTAAAGAATGCTGCATTGGATGCCTCGTAGCACACTGACTTCTCTGCAGATGTCTGAGGTTTCCTCCACTTCTGGTAAGTTGAGGTTTGTTTGCTGGATCAAGAAATAGTATATTTCATAATTGTAATATATTATAGCAAGATGCACCCCCAAAGCTGCATATATATTTTCTTATCTACCACTGTCACATAAAGTTCCCCTACTACTTTACCCAGGACTTGATAACTGTATGTATATTTTTTGTAAATTTTGATGAAATGACAACTCAGTGCTTTTATTTCCATTTCACAAATTGTGCAACTACATAAATTTTCATATAAAATGCATTTTTATACTTGACTCATTTTCTGCTTGACTCATTTTTTAATGTATTTTAGATACTGTTTTACATTCTGTAGTTTAATCATACACATACACACATATATTTTGGTGTCTTATGTTTGTGAAACCAAAATCCTTCCTGTATGCCCTTTCATTTTTTTGTTTTCCTTAAGAAGGTATGGCCTATTTTATAAGATACTATGTTTCTTTCAGTCCTCATGTTATATTGTTTAATATTGTTTGTTTTAAATATCTAATTTAACTTATTTTAAATTTTCAAATAACATAGATTTAGATAAAATTTCATGTCTCCATTTTTTTCTTCTCACATTTATTTTGCCTGTATCATCACCCAAAATCAAAATTGAGACAAAATTGACTTTTAGGCTAATCTTTATGTTTTAAAATGTGAAATACCAAAGGTAACTTTTATGTTTAAGTTTCCTTGATTTTCACAGTCACTGGGGTTTTATGTCACTGTTTTCATAAGTCTAAGAATTTGGTTTGCCAGGCCTTATTCGTGCCATTTTTATGTCCTTAGTAAGTTTTTAAGTTTCTTTACGTGGATCTGCAAATTTATTTCAAATGGTAGTCATAATATTTTGCTGTTGTAAATAGAGGCTGATTTTGGTGAGTTAGTTTATGAATTATTGCTACTAAACAGGATATATTGATTTTGGTATGTTCGGAGTAGTTTTGCCCACTTTTAAAATATTATTAGTATTGATAGAATAGATTCTTGTGCTTGTTTGTGCTTGCAGTCATTTCATCTGAGAATAAATTCAATTTCAGCTCTTCGACTTCATTTTTGTATTCCATCTCTTTTCCCCTCTTGTCTTGGTCGCGACTCAGGCATCCTGTGTTGTAGCACCAGCCCCCATTTTTCAGCCTTACCTTTAATGAAAATGCTGCTTTTATTAACTGCTGAATATATTTGTTCAAATTCTCTTGAGCAACAAGAATAATTCTCCCATTTGACATGATTTTTAAAGATTTTAAAATTATTTTTAAAGATGTAAAATATTTTAAAATATTTTTTCAAGGGTTTGTTGATGTGATCTATTTTTTTAATCTGTAAATTACTATATGAAAGTAGTAAATCTTCTAGTATTGAATCATCCTTTTATTATTTCAATAAACTTCACTTTACAATGTTCTGTTATTATTTAACCTGCCAGTGATGGCTAAGTGACCAAAATAAGTAACTACACGGTGAAAATTGTATTAGTAATTTTTGCAAATGTAATCAGTGAAGATTGGTGATATAATTTCCAATTATTTTGACATTTTGTACATTTTGATTAGCCTAACAAACTATTGAAGACAGGCTTAATTTTTCTTCCTTAGGAGAGTTTACATTACAAAGGAACTATAAGTGATTTAACATTTTGAGAGAACTCTCACAAATTCCTTTTAGAGATTGACTCTTTATATAATGGTAAATATTGGCTAATCAGATTTTTCTCCTTATTTATGAGTGAATGTTTATACTGTATTTCCTTGATAATTAGTCAGTTTATCATACATATTCAAATTAGAATAGAATCTTCCCACTTTTTACATTATAAATTATGTATTTTAAGTAAATGGGTGGTCTGTTTTATTTGCTAGTGTTATTTTTTATAGGGTTTTTCAGTTCTGTGATTTTACTCTAAAAAAATTTTTAAATTGATTTCTGTCAAATCTATTTCTTCATGTCATTCTTTTCTCATTTAATCTTCTTTAAACTTTAATATCTACTAATTTGTAACTATTTGGAAAGTCAAATAACTACTTTTTTCTTTTTCCTTCTCTTCTAAGTGTTTTTACAGTTTTACATTTCTTTAAGATCACAGCTGTAGACCTAATTCAATGGTTTTGATTACTTTCATTATTCATAATTATCATGACTCTAATTGAAATACCCTTTTGATTTTACTGTAATCCTGTTGTATGACCTATCTTTGTCAGTTTGTTTGACCTGTTTGTACTACCTGATTATTGTATATTTATATTTTTATTTTACCATGGTAAGTATCTGCGGCCTATTTTGTGTATTATTTTTTGCAATTAGCTTATATTTTCTCTGTACCAACTGCAGTCGTATTTGACATGGTACACTGAAGTGGAAAAAAGAGTCTTTATGATTTGGATAAAAGTTCAGTTTGTATTTACTAGTCAGATATACTTCGTCTTCTATGTACCTGCTCATGTTGTTTCATTACATACATAATGATACATTTTTATTATACCCCCCATAAAATTTAAGGAATTAGTGTTTCTCTTAGAATTTCTGTGTTTCTGATTATGTATATTTCCAACATATATTTTTAACTGCATGTACATTTATGAACATCATGTTTTGGTGTTTTATTTTTGCTAGGAATTTAGGCTGTACTTCAGATCCAAACTCAGCATGTAGCAGACTCACCAAAATTGTACATTAAAACCCAGCGCTTTGTAACCCCTGGGCCTGGCTGGCTTTGTGCCTTCTGTCCTCCCTGCCCCTTGAAGTCTAAACACCTTGGTTGACATAACTCCGCTGTGGCTGTTGCTGGGTCTCATCTTTGGTACTCCCTGCTGGCAGGGGGTGACCCAGGCCTGCCCAAGCCATTGTTGATCACCATAGAGGATTTAGCCAATCCTGAGATTGCTCATGAGAGTAGATTGCCTTCTGTATGCCTTAGTCTAGTCCAGCACCCACCTTTTCTGGCACCTGTGTAGATTTAGAACATAACCAGAGGCTCACAGGGCCTGGGGCACCCTTCTTATACTTCTGTTGTCTGTAGTGGTGATTCTCATACTCCTGAGCCCAGGTAGAGAATTCTAGGAGGCTCGTGTGTGTGGGGATACACTATCTTGCCCTTCTAAGAAGATAAGAGTGGTCTGAAACCCTCAGAGTAGACTCAGAAAAAATCTTGTGGCTTTATTGGGCTAAGGAAGCTCTCCCTGCAGAGACTGGCACCAGAGGTTGATGGGAATTTGATGTGACTTGCAAATTTTTTGTGAGGCTTAGTTAAGCCAGGGGTGTGGTCATTCCTGAGGTTGTAATGCCTACTTAGTTGGGTCTCAGACTCTGGAGAGGGCCTTGGAATATTTCAGAAAGCAAATACAACCAAAGGTTACTAAACAATATAGCAGAAGTTTGGAAGGAACTATGTGTGTGTGTATGTATGTGCATGTTGGGAAATCCTTCCTAATCATCTTCAGTAAATTGAGCAATCTCTTTGCACAGAGCAACTACGTAAATTATTCTTAATAATAAATGTAGTACCTAAAATAATGTTAAATAATAATGACACTGATGAATATCATAATAATACTAACATTGGTGCTTATAAGAATGAAAATAATAGTAAACCTAAGGAGATGGCAGATTTGAGGACAGATTTTTTTAGATGAATGATGAAGAATTGATGTTGGGCCCTATGGAGTGCTTTGGAGTCATAGTATTAGGTTTGCATGATTAAATGTGTTTCATAAGGCAAAAATGAACAGAAGAGGGGAAAAAAATCCAAACTGCTGAAGTATGTGGGCCAATTTAGGACCTCATGTTCCAGCAGGCCTGTGGGATGGAAGAAAAGGGAACCTGTCATGAGGACTTCCCCATACACAAAACCCAAACAATGTCATGAGTTTGGCCAAGTGACTGCTTGTAGGGAATCCTTGAAAGGAAGTCAGGCTTCCAGATCCGTGTATAATACACAAAAGCCCCATCTGTAATAGTGTGCATAGAGCCCCCAGAACTGTCTCAGTCCTTACTGCCCGGCTTCTCCCCACCATATGATCCACCGAAATTGCTGGAGACCCAGACACTTTGGCTCAAACATGTCATCCCAGAGCTGTTGGAGAAAGTACCTGTGGTGTTCCCAGGCCAGCATGGACCTGTATGAGCAGTTTCCAGGCTCCATGGAGGAATTGAATGGCTCTAGGACATTTTCAGACATTCACCCAGGCCTAGAAAACCCTACCTGCCGTGGTGGTCTCAGGCTCCTGAATTGATGCACAAAATTGAGGGGGCTCAGGCAGGCTTTGTGTGTGTTGGTTTGGGAAAGCTTTATAATGATCTTCATTCAATAAGACACTATTTATAAAGCTGACCTCTGAGACATCTAGCACCCACCCTCCTCAGGAGCCATTTCAGAATTCTCTGGCCTTGGGGACACTTGTATTCATTCCATGATGATGGTGACAGTGACAGTGAAGAGGGCTATAGTGATGATATTCATAACAACAACTACCACATTGACTGGCACCTGCCATGTGACAGCTGGGCCATATTCTGGAGTAATTCATTTTATCTTCACAGTATCCCCTAATTCAGAGATGACTCTTGTCTCCCTTTTGGGGCATACTATAGAGCACTCACCAGGGGTGGCTGCACAGATCCTGCTCCACACCCGGTGCTGTCTCTACCTGAGTGCTCGTAGTGTTTGCTTGGACTTCTGTATCTCTGTGGTCGCATCAGCTATTAATACCTCCTTGGGAGGGTCATAGAGGGAAATTACATGGATTATTAAATAAATAGAAACACACACCCATGCTTCTGCCTTCTCATCTGCCGTGCTTTTATTTTCAAGTCTCAACTGCTAACACATGTTTCTGGTGGAGCTTCCTGCCCTCTCTTGTCTGACATGACTCTGTTCTACCCCAGTACTCTGACATCCACAGTACTCCCTGTTACCTTTTAATCTTCCCACCTGTGTTCAGCATTGTTGATGTTCTTTGTTCACTGTCCCTACCCCTTCTTCCTACTCACTCAGACTTTCTGATC